ATTGCTTGTGAGAGTCCTTCTCTTTTTCTCCTTGATTGCTATTGATTCCATTATATTATTGCCCGACGATCGAGTATATATTTTTAAGAAGGAAATTTTGGGGTTCTATAATGCTAATTTAACTATACTGAGCATCATCAAAATCCAATTATACTTTATTCCTAACACTACATAGTGCAATTTGTAACAGTAATTTGTTGATAAACTCTACAACCTAAACAAAAATACACTAAACCTTAAAGTTAAAGAAAGTAAATCATAAATTCTAAAATGTACACTAACATAAGGGGGGTGTTTTCTTTTGTAAGCTACTGGCTCTATTACATTGTAATATCTGTTCATATACTTTACTCATAATCTTCCAAATGGAAGTCCAACCTGGGTACCATTAGACCATATAGTCCTGGTAACATAAGGGGGGTGTATTCAATCATGACTTTCATAGAGTTTTAAAGACTTTTATGAACTTTAAAAGTTTGGGGGTATTCGATTCAAACTTTTACAGAGTCTTTAAAATTCAGGCGGTATTCAATCAAGATTTTTAAAGAGTATTTAAAAGCCTTTTGGTATTCGATTAAGACTTTTTTTTTTTTTTTTGGAAAACGGAACTTAATTGATTATATCAGAATCAATGAACGCAACAAGAAAACTGGGAGGAACATCAAACCACTCCCCAGGACCTGACACAGAAACGGCTTCCCTAGGTAACACATGGGCCGCACGGTTCGCAGATCGCCTAGCATAACTAAAGTGAACCCCATTGAGCATAGAGGCCACTTGCTTTACATCCTCAATTAAAAAAACCAAAAGTAGTAAAAAAAGGTTCAGAATTTAACGCATTAATACACAATTGGGCATCCGTTTCCACATCAACTTCCCCCATCCCAGTATCACGCAACCAAGACAGGGCCTCCCGCGCGCACAGCACCTCAGCCTCAACAACAGAATACTGACCTTGCATACAATTGCTCTTAGCAGCCATAAAATGCCCGTTCTCATCTCGCAACACCCATTCTATTACGTATGGAGTCAAAGGCAGCGTCAGTATTTAGCTTCATCCTCCCGGCATCTGGCGGTTGCCATGCTTCGCCCACAACATTTCCATCCCGGCGGCCTTCCCCCTCCGTTTATACGTGCTTCCAATTCTGCCAAAACGCCAAAGCCTCCCGTACAACGGCATCCCTTTGAGAACTGCTTACCCTGCCAGACACAAGCATTTCTGCTCGCCCAAACCGCCCAACACAACATAACAAACTTCGATTGGAGGTCATCCTTTAGACATATAAGCATTTCAAAAAACCAGTCTACCAAGTTACCTTACGCATGTGTTCCCGTCGGCAACTGCAACGAAGCCCATATCACACGTACATGGATGCAATCCCTGAACAAGTGTGCATTAGTTTCATCCACCCTCCCACATATATGGCAAATCACCGAACAAGCCACCCGCCTTGATAAAAGGGCCTCTCTCGTAGGGAGCACCGACGTCGCAAGCTGCCAAGCAAAAACTCGAACCTTTCACTAGTAGAAAATGGACGAAAAAAATGTAACAATACACGTCTTTAGTTAGAACTAATGACTCCTAAAGTAAGGGGAAAGAAACGCGGTGGCATTTATGTAATATTTTAAAGACTTTAAGCGTCTTTACTTGTATAGAAAAGACGCGTATGTTTAGTTGTATTTTATACCGCGTCTTTATCTTCAATGTAATGACGTGTGTTGTTACGCATATTTTTTATTTTATACTTTCTAAAAAAACATGTAAATATCATTTGCTCCACCAAACCCTAAGTTTCCTCTTTCTCTATTTCTCCCTCCTGCCGCCGCACTACACTTCTCCCTTCCGCACCTCCATCTCTGTCTTCCTCTTGCTCGTCCTTGCTCCCTTCAGTCCCGCGGCGCATAGGTTGTCCCCAAGATGGGGTGTGTGACGTGGCCGTTCTCCGCACATAATTTGACGGCATCTTCAGATTCAAATATAGATTTAGATCTAGCGTGAGAGGCGATGATGGCTTCGGATTCGACCAACACATCGCGTGTTCATCCAGCGGCAGAGGTGGCGGTACTGACGACTTCAAATCGGCATCTCTCCCTTCTGATCCAGCTTTGATCACCATTTACTGCGACGACTATTACAATCTCTTTGGGTGATTTTCTATTACGATCCTTTCTTCTACTTTGCATTGCAGTGAATCAATTTTATTTGATTCACTTGTCAAATTTTTTTTTTTGTTTTGGTTTTTTTTTGTTGTTTTTCAGAGTCAATCAAAATGCTAATGTATCTGAAGTGTTATGTGAGGACTATCAAGTACACAATTGCAACTTTCTTGCCGAAATCCTTGTTTGAACTGTTCAGGAGAGTGGCAAACTTTTATTTCTTGGTCACAAGCATCTCGTCCTTCACTTCTCTGGCTCCCTATTCTGCTATCACTGCCATTCTCCCTCTCATCATAGTTATTGGGGCAACTATGGTGAAAGAGGGCATTGAAGACTAGTATAGAAAACAACTAAAGGTATTTATTTAAGTTTACTGTCTATCTATCTCTTTTTATGTAATTAAATTCTGGAAAAAAAAAAAAAAGTGCCTTATGTTTAGGATTGCTTTAAATTTTTTATTCTGGATCTTCAATTAATTTGGATTTACTCAATTAGACAGTCTTTTAAAGGAACTGAATTCTTTTTAGCTTGTTAGTGGAAGTCAAGATTGCTTGCCTTTTGGGATACTTAATTATTGATGATGGGAAATTTCTCACTTTATTTTCAATTTGGAATTGCTTGAAAAACATTTTGCATACAAAAAGTGATTCTTGTAATCTTTTTCCACCTGATGCTAGATGATTCTTGGATAATTCTTGTGCATAGTTCTGAATTTTACATTCCTAAAATCCACTTCCCAACTCTTTTCAAGTGGTATTTACTATTTAACTATTTATTAGTGATTTGGTGCACTACACTAATGATTTATGAAACAATATGCTTATATTGTTATAAATTCATCTTAATTGTAGTATTTTTGTCTTTAAAGTTGCATTATAAAATTGATATGATGTTTCAGATAAGTGAACAAAGTTCTCATTTTTTAGGGGCTTCCAAGTCTTAATACAAAAGGAGTGGATAAACATGCTTAATGAGCATGAACTTCAGGTATTTTGATTTGTGAACATCTCTTTAGAATTCTGTCTTGCAAAATAGATATGAATATTGTTTAAAGTTGTAGACCTCTCATTGCATTTTCTTGCCCTTATATCATAATGTTTAAATTTGATATACAGTTGTACTTGCTATCAATATATATAATCAATGTACCAAAAATAAATAAGTAGAACTGATGCACATTTTGGAACCAGAGGGTGTGTCTAACAAGTCAAGATCTCTTTATTAGTTTATTCTCAAATGTGTTTGGCTGGACTACACAGTGGTAGGAAAGGTTTCAAGCTGGGGAACAGCAACAATATGAAACAAATGGTTTCGGGCTCAATGTGAGCAGACACATTTAATATGTTCAAAGCTCCAAAGATTGTCATCTTGTGCTGGACCGTTTAGTAAAGAAAATTTATAATTAAGTACTAATTACACAGGTTATTACAAATCATCAGCAAGGCAGCAAATGTGTAGAAGTTTTCGCAAGTGCAAGGTGCAGGCCGTGCAGCCTCTGCACAACCAACTAGTGTGGAATACCGAGGTCCCTTTGAGTTTGGATTTGGCCCAACCTCTGGTAAGTTTATTCATAATATTATTAAAAAAAAATAACATAGTGTAGTTAGCAAGTGTATTTTCTCATCTTACCAATAATTGATTGAAACCTATGAAATCCTAGTTCCATTCCCTCTAATTTTATTCCATGAACCAACCATGCTATTATGTTTTTGAAATTTGTATTGATATTATAACTGCTTTGTATATTATGGTCTTATAGAAACTTTTCCAACTAGAGAAGTATGCAAGCTCCATGTTTCTGTATAGAGGTTCCTGCTTTTCCAATTATTATTCTATTTTGAATGTGGATTTAGGCCTTTAGTAAGGATGGAAGGACCACGGTGCCTAGGAAGGTGCTGTTTAAAAATACTTGAAGGAAGGCAACTTATGCATGGAAACAGATCATTGAACTCTGTCTTACTGGTAGGGTTGTTGCTTTACTTTTCTTTTACTCCATTGGTAGGTTGTGATCACATTTAAATTTTTTAAAGTTTTTCATTTTGTGATGTTATTATTTCTGCTGAAGAGGAACAAGAGGGTGTGCATAGATCTATCTTGCGGGATGGTTCAACTTCATAAAGTAAACAAATCTCATTGTGCTCTGGAGGACAAGATTTATCTTAGGGGTCTCTTCCACCGCCTCAGAGCTCTGATTGCCTTGAATTCCATCCGCACTATTGCTGCTTCATCGTCCACCGCAAACCGCCCAAGCTCGCCTCCGGTCTCCACGCTCGCCTCCACAGTCGCGGGTACGTCAGTGATTCCAAATCCCTTAACTTTCATTGTTGAAATGTATAGTCAGATCGTGATTCTAAGTATCGGTTGCATTACTTGTTGCATTTCAGTAAGGGTATTTCATCTTCAGCTCTTCCGTACAAGAGAACCCCTCCCAGCTGGCTCAAGATCTCTTCCCAAGATGTGAGATATATCAATTTGATTAGTTTTTGTTGTTCGGTTTGCATTTTATGACTTCTGATTTGCCTAACATTGATACGGGACTTTGTCTGATATGATTGATTGCTTTTTGGAATCTATGAATGGTTTAGTGTATTGATAGTGTAATTTTCATCATATTAGGTGGATGAGAACATCTGTAAGTTCGCCATCATAATAGTGTAATTTTCATCATTCTATTCTAGTACTCACCAAATGCACGCCCATATGAATGCCTGTTGTTTTCCTGGTTCCGCCTTTTGGAAAACGTGGGTTCTGGGATAGGATTTTTTTAGTTTTGTATTTTTTGTAACTTGGAAATTCCTCAACTTATTATGAGTGCTGCTCCAAATGCCAGTGGTAACCTTAATAAGATCATTTGCTGTTAATTATCAATGTGCAAACATCAGAGTAAAAAAGATCATTTTCTAATTTGCCTGATAATTTAGAGAGCTGTTTCCTCATTACAAATTTAACATGTACTTGACATTGTTTTACTTGAATTTGATAGATCTAAAAGCAGATAAAGAGGACACAAAGCACAACGGTATGGTGTTTTCTTTCATATTGTTTTGACCTTTTTGAGTTAGTAGTTGTCTTTTTTACAAATAAATACATTTCAAAAGGAAAAGATAATTACCACTGCTGAATTTCTTCTCTTCTTGCTTTCTTCTTTTTTTTTTTTTTTTTTTTTTTTTTTTTTTTTTTTTTGGTTAGAAAGTTCTTGTTTTGGATGTGTATAACTTCTATATCTGGTTTCACAACACCTAAGTCTTCAATTTGCAGTTGCAAAAGGGAAAAAACGCAAGGCTGACTCTGGCACTGAGGTTTGTTTAATTTTTTTTTATTGCTTTTTGAAGTTGAGGAAATAAGATCCCTCTTGTTTATATGCTTATAAATCACATCTACCTTTTTACATGCTTGTAAATCACGTCCATGCTATTATTTATGCAGTATTATATTACACTCAACTGACTACTGCACTTGGAAATAGACTGAATTGTGATTGAGTTATCAGTTTCTTTTCCTCTCATTTTTGGTCCTGATGGCTGTTACTGCAACCAAGTCTTCTTTGCTTCTATATTTATACTTGGATGCTTTGATCTTAGCTTTTAATAAGTAGGTGTTCTTGACATTTTAAACTTGTGGTTACATAGTTTATATGCTCTGCCAGTCAATTTAATGCACAATTCTTTTTCTGACCACTCCAACCCCCTCTTTTTCTCTTTCCTTCCCCAATGTTGCATTGTTGCCCAAGATATTGCCTGCCCTTTCATAAGAATTCTTTTTTTTAACTGATTCCCCAATTTACTCTATTGCTACTTGTTAACCTTTCGTGTGGAGTTTTTTTTTTTCATGAGCAGAAGGAAAATGCATCTGTTGAGAAACTCATCAAGATTCAAATTCCATCCACTTTGAAAAAGCACCTTGTTGATGATTGGGAATTTGTCACTCAACAAAATAAGGCATGTGAAGATTTTGTGTACTTCTCTTTTTATCTTTTTGCCCATGGCTGGGAGAAAATATAAGTATAGAAGGGTTACAGCAGTTATTAAAGATGTTGCATTTGGTTTTAAATAAAACATAAATGAGTTACTTAATTAGCTCCTTTTGAAATTCATTTTCTTTGCTGGACATGGTAAGAACGGCTTCCTTAAAGAAGAAATTCCATTTTCAATTATGCCTGATCTTTTATTTCCACAATATTTATGCTCAAATGGACTTGAGCTTTTTATTTTGCTTGCAGCTTGTACATTTACCCCGATCACCCAATGTTGATGATATACTGACAAAATACCTTGAATACAGAGCAGAAAAGGATGGCATGTAAGTGTCTTGTGTATCTTAGAACATCCTATATTCACTGCTTTAATAAAATTGATTGATTTGTTTGTAGTTTGATTTGGTAAGAGCACCTTTTCTAGCTAGCCCTGTCCCAGCAAGTGATGGTCTGTCTACTCATCAACCAAAAAAGAAATTTCTCTGATATGTTTACTAAACATAAGGAGCACTCTATATAGAAATTTAATTTTTACCCTAGAGCAAGGGTATTGGAGGCAAATAGTGCATTATTCTTTTTCCTCTAAAAAAGTTGGAATAGGCAGTTCAAACTCTGATTTGTCTTTTATGGTCAATGGATAGCCAACTTTTAAACCTCTAGAGGCCTGCAATTTATCCTGAATTCCCCAACTATGGACATTTCCCCATATAGTAAATTGTTAAATTCAGGCAAGGCTTTTCATAAGGGGTATAAACTCTTGGGCCATTAGCCTTCTTTTTTTTGGCCAACAAAAAAGAATACAGTGAGTAAACAATGTACTTTATGTGGCTTGATGCCCTTTTAGTTTTGTTCCTGGTAATTTGGTAAGAGTCTTTTCTTGATGCAAGTAGCTACAAATGCAAAAGAGCGGCCTTTCCTGTCAACACTACTTTCGTATTTAATATGTGTTTTAGATGGAATTACATTCTATATATTATGATAGATTAATGTTGGATTGTTATATTTTGTTAGAAAATTATGCATGTTGGATTATAAATATATATATATATATATATATATATATATATATATATATATATATATATATATATTGTGTTGAATGGTTTGAACTATATAAATGTTGTTTTGGTAGCAAAATTTTAGGATTAATTAGTACAGGATACTATTGAATTAAACAAAATATTAAAAGGAAAAAATAGGTGTTAAATACGCCTATTTTTATTTTTTTTTTATTTTTGTTAAAGACAATACGCGTCTTTACTTAGCTAGTACAGACGCGTATAGTCTACCTTTACGCGGCTTCCAAGTACAGACGCATAAAGTTGCCAACTTTCAGTGTCTGCGCCATACGCGTCTTTACTAGTAAAGACGCGTATTATCAATTAGTAAAGACGCGAATGAGTCGTTTTGTACTAGTGTAACTTGAAGGGATACAACTTTGATGAAGACCACAAACGTTAATTCAAAGGTTTCGAAGATGAAAAATAGCCTAAAAGTCAAAGATGTTGCGCAAGCCGGGTATCTCCCTGAAGCTAAGGTAGCTACGGGATTGGCCACGCCCGTGGCCATTCCCATAGCCACATTCCAGTGGGCACACGTTTCTGGCCACAGGGTCGGCCACGCCCGTGGCTAGCCTTATTTGCTTGTATTGAACTCCGTTTTCAGCCATTTCAAGATGGTTTCGACCCATTTTAGAATAACTTCTCTGATCTCTTTCATTTTCTTTGATATTTTTAGGTTAGATTAGGTTTATATTTAGGATCTTAAACATTTTGAAATCTTGGATTGAAGCATTTAATCTTGGATTTCAGAGATTTCATATCTATTTTCAATAGATCAATAGATAAGTTTTTCTTCTTTTTATTTCATTCCTTTGCAATTTACTTTCTTGCTTTATTGCTTTGATCTTATATCTTGTGTTTGTTATGGATTTCCTTGTTGATTATGAATATTGTGATATTTTCATTATTGCTTATGTGTGATTAGTTCTCCTTTGAGGGAGGTAGGGACATATGCTAGGTGTTTGATGGATGACTTTGAATTGGTTGAAAAGGAAAGTTGAGACTTGATCTTGATGATGTTGATTGACATATGAGTGGTTGAGTCCCGATTAAGGAGTGACAACTTAGTCTAAGCTCAAGTAGTTGATCAACCATGCTTCACATTTGAGAAAAGGGAAGTGTGTGATGTTAAGAACACCAAATATTTGATGAAATGCTGGCCTCTTAAAGATTCTTGAGTCATGAAAATGTCCTTGAATGTTCTTGGAGTGTGGGATGATCGGCCTTGAGAAAGGCTTCCCTATTGTTTTATGATATCTATCATCTTTTGGCCCTCAATTTGGTTTTGCTATCTTCACCTACCTTTAGTTCCTATCTACCTCCAATTTCTTGTCATTGATATTCATTAAAGTGCGTTGTTTGTTATTGTGTTTGTGTCTTTATCTACCTTATGTTTTGGCTAGATTTCCATGAGGAACATCAATATCTTATGTTTTGGACCCTAAAGCTCTACTCTTATCATCAATCCTTGTGAGAACGATATCCGGTGTAAGGATACCCTCTTACACATTCACTCACCCAAAAGACTACTTCATCAAAGATCCTTAGCTTGTAATTGAGGTCCATTTTTATTTTTATGTTTTTTTTGCTAAAGAAGGCGATAGGTTGTGTTCTTCTTAGATGAGGACTGCTCCTACACTAATGCTAGATGCATCTTTCTCAATCATAAAGGATTGGTTGAAATCTGGGAGATGCAGAACTGGTTGCTACTGTAAGAATCGTTGGTAGGAAAACAAATAATAATCAAATAAAATTGACTATTATTTTCTGGAAATAAGGGAAGAAAAGATGAAGAAATTTGGCTAGTGTCTGGTGTTGGGTTTTTGCAAGAGTCAAGTGAGCACTCTTTCCTTAAAACCTTATTTGCCGCCTCCCAAAGATGCTAGGAGCGTTGTGGCCTAGGCTTCCCAGGATAAAACTTGCTAGTGATTCAATGTTTGAGCACTCAAACAAGGAATCCGGCGAGCAAGACACGGCTATGAGCACAGGAGGCTAAAGAAGGAGTAGAAGCAGAGAGGTTTTGAGGCTAAAAAGAAGAACTTTCGTGTTCTATTTTCTGTGTAAAACTCCACTGCCTCTACCCTCTTTATATAGGGTTGAAGAAGCCCATAGCCTTTATTATGACAATTAAAAATGATATTAAAGCTGCATTCCAACAGCTATAACAGCAGGCCACTACCTTGGAATTGAATTCAGAATTTAAAATTGGAGTTAATAGGATATTAATTCCGTAACGGTCTCAACTTTCGAGGCCGAAAGTACTGGACATGTTTCGGCTGTATATGGCCGAAAGTACTGGACATGTTTCGGCTGTATATGGCCGAAACTTCGGCCACAAGGCCGAAAGTACTATACATGTTTCGGCTGTATATGGCCGAAAGTACTATACATGTTTCGGCTGTATATGGCCGAAAGTACTGGACATGTTTCGGCTGTATATGGCCGAAACTTGCTGCTGCTGTTAAAGTTTGGCATAACTTAGCCCGCAAGGCCACCGCAGGTGCTAGCGCACACGAGCTCGGGCTTGAATCAAGCCTTTTTCAATCTCGTCTAGTTGGATTTTTGATTTGCACCCCCCGCGCGAGAGAGCCTCTTTTCTATACAATTCTACAAGCTTCAAAAGAGCTCTTGTATATAAGGGGGGAAAATCTTCATTCCAAAGCAATGTGGGACAAAAGCCACATTTTCCCTTCATTTTCCAACTCAAATGGGTCTACTTTGAGAATCAATATCTCATTCACCCATTATCCGTTTTGAGCGTACAATATATCGATCTCTTCGTCTCACTACGAAGAATCTGAATCCACTTTGACCCGACCCAAATCGGAAGTGGACCCCGCTGATAATTGTACCACAAAATAGCCACTTAACATGCCATTTTAAGCTATTTTTTCCAACAATCCCCCACATGAATGAAAAATTGATTTTTGGGGTATTTTGAAATCGGATACAACTGTGTTCAAACGGTCGATCCCTACATAGGATTGGTAGGGAGTCACTATACCCTTTGAACCTTCCCTCGTGAAGACATGTTTACTCTACTGGCTGTACGGTAGAACGCGATGTCTTTGAACCGACTGCCGTTTGTGTAGACGATGACATATCTCACACAGGAATCTCCCAACCATGCTCTTGCTCTCATGAGTGTGCCCGTTTTGGTCGTGGGTCACCGTTCCTGGTTCTGCGAGAGTTTCTAAAGAATTGTGCCCAACAATTCTCCTTTGAAGCGACCCTCACTTCTCTCTAACATAGGTGATTCTTTCTCGAGTATCCCGCATACTCAAGAATCATTAAAGCATTGACATGCTAGCCTCTTGCAGGAGTCACTGTTTTAACGAGGAGTGGTAGGGAGTCCGAGACCCCCACAGTGACGCGCTCCGTTCCATAATTTAGTTGTCCCATTGAACCTAGGTGCCAGCTAGGTTGGGTATCCACTATAGAACTTTTTAGTCCAAGGGCATTAGACCCATTCCTCGTGTCAACTTCTCCACAACTTCTCTTCCTAACCCTTTGGTCAGCGGATCCGCTATATTGTCTTTTGACTTTACGTAATCAATCGAGACAACACCAGTTGTGAGCAGTTGTCTAATGGTATTATGTCTACGACGCACATGTCTAGACTTACCATTATACATATGACTCTGTACTCTCCCGATTGTGGCTTGACTATCGCAATGCACACATATTGGAGGTACCAGTCTTTCCCAATTAGGAATATCCTCTATAAAATGGAGTAGCCATTCAGCTTCTTCACATCCTTTGTCCAAGGCTATTAGCTCAGATTCCATCGTGGATCTAGCTATCACAGTTTGCTTAAAGGATTTCCACACAACAGCTGCACCGGCTAGTGTAAACACGTAGCCACTCGTGGACTTAGAGTCCTTAATATCAGATATCCAATTCGCGTCGCTATACCCTTCAAGTACAGCGGGATATCTCCCGTAGTGCAGTCCAAGATCACGAGTATACCTCAAGTATCTCATAACCTTTACTATTGCCTTCCAGTGCATAGCACCGGGGTTACTCGTATATCTACTGAGTTTACTAACCGCATAGGCAATATTCGGCCTAGTACAGCTCATAAGATACACCAAACTACCAATAACCCGAGCATATTCCACTTGTGAAATACCTTCTCCGTGGTTCTTGGTTAGATGAATATTTGTATCAAATGGTGTCCTAGCCACTTGACTATCATCCTTGTTAAATTTCTCAAGGATTTTGTCAATATAATGTGATTGGCTCAACACGAGACCATCAGGTCTTCTAATGATTCTAATCCCGAGGATTAAATCAGTCAAACCCATATCCTTCATGTCAAATCTCGCATTTAACATTTTTTTAGTAGACTTGATCATTCGATCATTACTACCAACGATGAGAATATCATCGACATATAAACAAAGAATGACGTAGCCGTCTATCGTTTCCTTAACATAGACACATTTGTCACTTTCGTTTATTTTAAACCCGTTAGTTAACATCGCATGGTTAAACTTCTTGTGCCACTGCTTAGGCGCTTGTTTCAAACCATAGAGCGATTTAACCAACTTACACACTTTCCTTTCTTGGCCCAGAACCACGAACCCTTCGGGTTG